AGAGACATTGCTTTTGTGCGTTTTTCTTTTTACATTTCCGTACGCTGGGAAGGGTTTATGGTATGTAACACTTATGGTATTTCTGTATTTTATGTAAACTAGAAATAAGAATAGTGACGGTTTTCAACTGAAGAAAAACTAATGAATTATAGAATAGTGAATTATAATCCAGCACACTAAAAGGGTAACAAATAACTAATGCTTTACCGGACAATGGAAGTTTATTGCACTTAAGCGTATTCAAGTCTAACAAAAAGTTTCTTCAAACAGAGGTCTGTAAAAGAATTTGCTTCTTTTTCAAGGCGATTTGATAAAATTTATAAGGACTACTATGTACCAGTTTTTTATCACTTTCTCATGTGATGCATACGCTTTATTAAAAAATGCACCAAAATTTTACAATCACTGCACTGATAACGCACTCACATTTTTTTGCGTTGACAAAGGTATTTCTATTTTTGATTTGTTAAAGTACAAATAAGCTGACAAAGCTGAAGACAAACGTTTTCTTTATGAAATACTTTCTAGACAATAAAAAAACTGGAAAAAAAGCAGTTATAATTTTCGTTGTCAAAAGAGTGAGAACACTGGAAAAGTACCACTTGAAATACAGCCAGTTACAGAAGTTTCAGTTCAACAGCTGTTTATAAAATAGTTTTCTAGAAAACAAATATTTGTTGCAAGTAACATCAAATTCTACTCTTTGAGGTGAACAACAAAAATAAGTTTTAACTATATACTCTGTGGCAAGAAAAGATTTTTTTCAATATAGGCTGATTCGTAGTCTGTCAAATTACGGGTGGCTTAAAGGTATTAGAACTTTATTAATTTGAATTTCCTCTTTTTCGTGGATAACCTTTTGTCTTCGACCTGTAAAGAACAAAAATTTTAAACGTTTTTTGGTCAGTTTTCTGCATTTTTACTCAAAACTTGTTCTTCGCAACGTAAAACGAGTGTAGAGCATTGACCGTTTCTTCGATATCTGAGATTCAACACTTTGTTGTGACAGATTATCTACACTTTCGTGTATAAAAATCATGTCTTATAAGTCTGCTAAAAGCAACTGTTTGATTCATCTAGCAAGTAAGTATTGTTATATGCTTTACAAGATACATCAAACATTATGACCTCGTTGCAAAATTTCTCACCTTTTGCCAGTTTTCTAAGAAACAATGTTGACAGTACTATAAATAAGCTACTGCTCTGTAGTTTTAAATCCCTTTGAACGTTTAATTCGCAGTACTTTAAAAAATTAAGCTTGGTCTTGAACACAGAGAATTTTTAACTGGAACCACATAGAGTCGAGCATTCATTTCGCTATTTTTTGATAAAACTTAGGCAATAGTGGGCTAACAGTAGTGCCTTTCTATAGTTTTTCATGTTTCTGCTGTGTCCTAAAAGCTGCTAATTTTAAAATTTAACAGTCTTTTCTTTAAAAAAAAAATAGATAACAGCCAAGCCACTATGTCTTTTTTAACTTGCAGTAAATTACACAATTTTTTAGCTCTAAATGACTGCTAATTTTGTAAATTTTCGATTATAATTTCACTTTTGTAAAAGGGTTGATCTACACAGACTACCACTTATCTGCTACTGTTCACTATATGTCAAAGAGTTTTTCAATTTGCAGTTACCCAGTCATAATTTTCTCAAATTTGATTGATCGAAAAGATAGAGCAGCTATAACATAGCTGAAAAACCAACTAAGTCAAGACACCATTTGATACCGACGACTCTTCATAATTATTAAAAGAATCACATTTTTGAACTATTTATTACAGATTTTTCATTAGAAAGACTGAATAATTAATAATTATCTGACAAACAAAAAGCTTTTTATCTAT